GCATTCCAGTGGATTAAGTTGTGCACATGTTCAATATGGAATTGCTGTGGGTGGTCAGGGAAGGTAGGTCAACCTTTTGGTCCCTACCAAATGATTTTTGTTTGACCTATTTCTATTGATTCTGTCCAACTGATAACTACTTGTGCTTAGTTATTTTCTCATTTAAATCTAATGAAATTTTGGCTAAAGGAAGGTTGGAATGCAGAGTTAGATGCAGCATTGACCAAAGTCTTTCCTTTCTTTTCCTCCACATCTAATGCTAATGGCTAATGCTTTGGGCATTTGAATGGAGTCCCAAATATCTAAAACATAAGTAGCTTTTTTTCTTTCATCATGAAGACTTTAATTCCAAAATATACTAAAATCATGAGCCACTCCAAAATCATATTTGTTATCAGAGTACATATTTGAAATTTTAGGTTCATTTCACTGACGTTGGCATTAAGGCAAACATTTTATGGGACTAAGGTAGCCTCAGGTATGGGCTCAGCTTCTGTAGTTTCAGTCAAGGACACTGTGGCATGTCTTGCTCTCTATAGTCCATTCTCATTGCACAGTCAATATCCTTCAATGAGTGGATTATTAATTCTTCATTATCTAGAGATGTTTTCTGCAGGTCTAAACAAGGGTTAGTAATTTATTCATTAATGTTAAGCAGTCATGAGGAGGGCTATCAGATGGGGGAGGGAGAATGGGGCAAGATTAAGAGCAGGTAAGTTACATTAGAAAATTACAGTAAAAGAATCCCATAGAGGGTGTGATTTATCTTGAAGATAAATGCCAAGTTTGATGGGAACTTAACAAAACTTCCACAGGATGAGGAACGTACACAAAATGAGAAATTCATGACAATTTTGACATTTCTCTCCTTCTTCTTTTTTCTTTCTCCTTTTATCATTTTTACATTTACTTACATGTATATACATTGTTTGTGCTATCTCCACCCAACCCCCAACCTCCTACTTCCAGGCAAAACCTGTTCTGCCCTCTTCTCCAATTTTGTTGAAGAGAAAACATAAGAGATAATAAGAAAGACATAGCATTTTTGCTAGTTTGGAATAAAGATAGCTATAAAGCACTAGTGTTGCTTCCATGCACATGCAGCCCACATTGGTTCATTTTTACCAGACCTCTTTGCTACTTGTTGGTCCCCTTCCCATAGTGGCTTCTGCTATTTTAGGATTACTTTATTCACTCATCAACTGGGAGCACATCAACCACATTCAAGTTTTAGGTTTCCTTTCCTTTCCTTATTTCTCCTGTGCATGTTCTCCCCTTAGTGCGTGACCCATGTCCAATAATATTACTGCATTTGTTTTGGGTCTATAATCCACATATGAAGGAGAACATGTGATTTTTGGCCTTCTGAGACTGGCTAACTTCGCTTAAGATGATGTTCTCTAGTTCCATCCATTTACTTGCAAATGATAAATTTTCTTTGTGGCTGGGGCACCTTGGCTGTTTCCATAGCTTGGCTATTGTGAATAGTGCTGCAATAAACATGGGTGTGCAGGTGCTGTTGAGTCACATTCCTTTGGGTATATCCCTAGGAGTAGTCTTCTTCTTCTTCTTCTTCTTCTTCTTCTTTCTTCTTCTTCTTCTTCTTCCTCCTCCTCCTCCTCCCTCCTCCCTCCTCCCTCCTCCCTTTCTTCTTTCTTCTTCTCCTCTTCCTCTTCTCCTTCCCCCTCCCCTCCCCCTCCCCCTGTCCCTCTCCACCTTCCCTTCCCCTCCCCCTCCCAATGAGCCAGCCAGGAGATGAAATTGGATTGAACCTAGGGCTTCTCACCTGCTAGGCAATTTCTTCTGTGACCTGTAAAGCTTCAGCAGTGACTAAAGTTACACCCAGGAAATATGATTGTGCACTGCGGTGTTTAATGGGCTATGTTCTCCATGTTGCCGGTATTCCCGATGTGTTTCCTCCGCGTACTCCATGGCGGCTCAGGCCTGTAGTCAGAATGCTCTTCTTTTTCTTTCAGAACCCTGCCGTCATCCTGAGAAAAGCCCCCGGTAGCCTAATGGGTAGGGGCACCAAGGTGTTCCAGTCGACAGCCAGCCCACCCTTTTAAGCATAGCCAACGTGTCAGCCATCACCTAACCACACACACCAGAGGGAGCCTCCTGACCCCAGGCCAGATTTCTGACCAGCCCCACCATGAGCTGATGTTTTGAGTTGCTCGTTATCCAGTGATAGAAAACTTATACACCCATTATAGGATTCAATGATATGTTGATTGCAAGTAACTTGGCAAACAGTGGGTGCCCTATAGATGCTGATTTCCTTTTCCCCTAATTGAAAATTGAACCTGTTATTCAATGGTGCTGAATTATACAGCCATACCTGTAGACAGGTGTTTAAACTCATACTAGTACCACACCCACAGGAGAAACAGACATTTCCACACCTGACCATTAGGACCAAGGCCACATTGAAATTGAAAAACAATTACCTTTAATCTTATTAAAGCATCTGGAAGGTCGGAAAGGCTGTGCATGGATTCTTTAGGACACAGGCCCAATTCTTGCTTTTTCTGTCTGATCTCTGCAGCAGGTGGGAAGCAGTGACTTGGCCACCTTCAAACTTCCTAGTTTGAGCTCCTTTGCTCTGTCTGTCAGCCACTGGTTCTGTTCCTTGAGCACAAAGGAGAAATAATGTAGGGAAGGGAGTTCTGTCACCTCTGGGCATACAAGAGAGGTTCAGACCCTTCGCCCCCCTGGAGTTAGGGGAGTTCATAGCCCTTTCAGCTGCGAATGTGGGCTATTCTGAAACTGAGGACGTCTGGAAAAACTGGAGGCTGAGAGGTGAGTTTTGAAGATATTAGTACCAAAAAAGATATTACACCTTTCACTAATTTATATTGATCACATACTGTGTTAATTAGTTTGGATATATTGGATTAAGTTATTTGAATCAATTTCACCTGCACCTTTTACTTTTTAAAATATGAATAGCAGGAAATTTAAGGTTATACTTATGCCTCACATATCTGTTTTGCACATTGCTGCCTTAGGGGATTGCTTCCCACTTCATAGCTTAAGCTGCCTTCTCAGAAAACTGCACTAGAGACCAGAAAAGTTAAGTGAAATTTAAAAATAATTGTCATATAATTCTATTTTGTGAATAATAGAGACCCATAAATATAATTCATAAATCGATATGATTTATATACAAGGTTACCTGTAAATGTCCCCCTGGAAAGTCAGCCTTAAATAACAGGCTGTATTGAGTTTTATGGGACAAAACACACATACAAAGCCGGCGTAGTGGTGCACTTCTATAATCCCCGCATTCCAGAGGCTGAGGAAAGAGGATTATGAGTTCTGGACCAGTTTGGGATACTGGGCTACATAGGGAGACACTGTCTCAAAAACAAGGAAAAAAAAAACTTGTCGTTCTGGCCTCATTCAGACACGGGTTGGTGGCATCAACCGTCGCTCAGAGCAAGAGGAGGTGGGGCCTGAAGCCCTGTCCAATCAGAGGCTGTAAGTGAGAACTGTCCAATCAGGCACACAGCCAGAGTGGAGAGGGCAGGCTTTCAAAATCTCGCGGGCTCTCTCTAGAGCTGCCAGCTTGGGCTCCTCTTCCAGGTTCTTGTCTGCTGAGAAAGTCCGGGTGACACTGCAGTAGCGTTGTCGTCTTGCTGGATGGTCCACACGGAGGACGCAGGGCACCCTGAAAGCCAGGGAATGGTGAGTGTCCAATCGCGGAGTACAGCTCCGTCCTCCGTTTTCAGAGGCTCCCGCAAGGGCTGAGCTGGCGCCCGGGACTCGGGCGTCCTGTGCTGTGCTGTCCTGTCCCGTCCCGTGCTGCCCTTGCTGGGAGACGGCAGCCCTGGGGCCCTCTCTGTGCGGCCGGCCCTGGGTCCCCGCTGCCGGACGGAGGCTGGGCCGGCGCTCGGGACCCGGGTGTCCTCCCGGTTGCCGCCGGAGCACTGTCTGCGCAGATTGTGCGGTGAAGACGCGGAAGATCTTCATGGGAGAACCCCGACTTTGTGGGGTCCCTGCGTGAGAGGAGCTGCCCCTTGTAGGATCCCCAGGCCCTCCTTCCTGGGGAGTCACCGTTCTCTACTGAGTTTTCTAGATGTGTGGTAGCAGGGTCTCAAATTCTGAACCTAACACCACTCCCCACCCAATCCCTCCAGCCTAGTTCCTCCTAAAATTCCAGTTTCCTGCCCACATTCCCAAACACCAACTTCCCCTTTCGACATTATCAACTATTTGTTCCCCTTGCTATATTAACGCGGACAAGTACTTTGTTGTTACTTTTCTCCAAGTATTGGATGGCACCTCTTAGAGTATTTGTTTTCCACCTGTGATCATTTTCATGAGAAGAAAGTGTAGAAGAATCACTTGACTCTGCAAAAAACTCTTTGTGTCTCTCCTCTTTTTTGTCCTCCCTAGGCACAGACACCTTATCAGAATGTCTTGGGGTTGGACGTCTACCCTGGAGACTTTACAGGGTGATGTGCCCTTACCCACCCCCAAATCTTTCTGGTCCTGTGCTTCAGAACTGCCCGACACCTGGTGTTTCTAGTGAATATCAGCCCC